CTGGAGCCACCAAATGTTCTCGTCTTCATAGGACCACACAAATCTAAATGTACCAAACCCAGTATGTCTTACTTTCTCAATTGAGAAAAATTCTTGAAAGAGATTTTGCCCTGTTTTTCAAACAAACAGTGAGTACACATTTTCAAATGTTTACTTTTCAGTCCACTTAGTACACTTTTATTTCCCAATATAACTAATCTTTTTATACTCATGTGAGCAAATCTCTTATGCCACATCTCTATTGTACCCTTATCCTCCATTGCATTAACAATATCACTGGAGAGCTTTGCCTGCAAAACATACAACGCTGGGACCTTTTTTACCTCGAGCTACAACCATAGTCCAAGTGAGCCTCCACTGGCCATTACTAAAAGTGCTGCCATACCCATCATCATCATCACATTTTCCTGCAGAAATGAAGTTTAGACGAATGTTTGGAATAACCTTTACATCTCTAAGAACCAACCTTGAACATTACTCATCTCCAATGCCAGTGACTTTAACCAATCTATCATTACCTATCTTTATAGTTTCGAAATCACCAGATTTATTAGATGCAAAGAAATCCTTTCGCGATGTAGCATGAATGGAGGCATCGCTATCAATCACCCAACGGGTCTCATGACTTGCAAAATTGGTCGTGTCATCGTCATAAATAATGAGGAAGTCTACAAAAGTGGTGGTAACAACTCTATACTCACCATCTTTGTCATCTTCGTTCTTTGCTATATTCTCTTTCTCATTCTTATTTTCTTTATTCCATTGCATGCAACGTTTCTTGATGTGACCTTTTTTCCCACAATGATAACACTCGATATTCGCAAACTTGTTCAACTTTCCTCTGCTTCTATATTTTTTCTTCAGACCTTTTCTCTTACCCTCCCTCTTTTCTATAACCAAGACCTCTGAATGTTATCGTCAAACTACTCTTGGAAGATCCATTGTGATGCCTCCATCTGGAGTAAAGTTAGATAATGAAGTTTTGAACAACTCCCATGAGTCCGGTATTGAACCAAACAACCATAACCCCTGAATCTTATCGTCAAACTTAATACATATTCCAGCCAATTGATTAATAATTCCTTGGAATGTATTCAGATAATCAGTTAAAGGAGTTTCATCCTGGAATCTCAAAGCCATCGTCTGCTTAATTAGAAAATCTTATTATTTTTAGTCATTCTAACATATGACTACTGTTCAAGCTTACTCCATAGAGTATGATCCTATGTCTCCCCAGTAACATAGTTCAAAATACTATCATCTACCCACTACCTGATATACCCACAGACTTATCGTTGCAACAAAGTACATTCTTCTTTTGATTTGTTATTTGGTTTTTCAGCTGCAAACACAAATAGATAATAATCTTCTTGCAAACACCAGTAGATAATAATCTTTCATATAAAGAAGATCCTTCATTTTTTCTTTCCGTGTGTGATAATTTAAACCATTTAATTTAATCATATTGCTCAAATTTCCTTCTATAATCTAAAACCCAAATCTTAGAATATAGCTCTGATACCACTTGTCGAGAAATATACAAACAAATAAATACATGACGGAATAATTCTTCTCCCAAAAGCAAATAAGTAAAACGCATTTCCTAACAATTCTAGATGCTGAAAATATTCTTAAAAAATCAATCACACCTAACTACAAGAATACAAAAAACTATTTTACTTGAAAAAACTTCCTCAATGTGAGGAATAAAAATCACAGACAGAGAATGAGAATTTGCTGTAATCAATAGTAAGGAGTTACAAAGAATCTTTTTAGACCAATAACTAATTAAACAATTGGTCGATTCCAATATGTGGTGTACACCATACATTTATAACTAAAGAATCCCTAACATTCTAAGAGAATTAGTACATGACGAGTTTAATATAAGGTAAGTCTCAATACAATGTGTAAACCCAATAATGTAGAATTTAGGATGAATTAGGAGTCAATTTACATTGGACTCAATACTCCTCTAATAGTATTTACAGTCAAATACTCAACAAGAATTCGGGTCACGGCCCAATTCTAACAAACCACCCAACATTGGTATCAGAGCTTAGGTCATCAACAAGTTTCAACCCAACAGTCCACGGGAGATACGAGTTTGCTCACACCCAGGGTCCGAAATGTGAGAAGGTGATTATTGAGGTTATCCTATATCGGTTGTGAAAAAGGTGGCGGTCAATTTATAAGTTTGAGTGAAAGTCTTATCTCTTGAGTGAGTTTTTGGGGTTGAGAAGGCCCAAGACCACCCAACAAGGGTGACGATACAGTTGGTTTGGAGTGACTAGAAGAAGACGCGGATGATGTTGCCCTTTAGAAAGCCCGTCTCTTATACCATCATAGCCTTTATCATCTAAATCCCTAAAAGCATTGCTTTTCTCTTCACATAATATGCAAGTCCACTACTGAAAAAATCGGTATCATGCGAATGATTCTTATTTGATTGATTTCTGAGTAGCCCCATCCCATATCCATCCATTTTAGATGGTTATTGCATAATAGAAGTGTTGATATGATCCAGACAAGGCCTCAAACGAGCAAGGAATCGAAATGCATCGAGGAAGGGTTAATGTCGAGCTCGGGAAGGAGTTGGGGTTCGAATCAAGCCAAAGAAGCCACACAATCGAGTGATCGAGCCTCAAAGTTCACCGGGATGAAGTTAACTAGCTTATGGTCAAGTTCCATATTGGAGTCGATGGCCGAAAAGAGTTGGAAGACGATCGAATCAAGAAAAGAAATGGAGGCCAAAATGTGACACTATGCGACCGCATAGTGTCCCAAGCCATGCGGTCGCATGGTGTCCTACTGAGAGCATAAGGCCGCATTTTAAGTGGTCTATGCAACCGCAACCCATTGTACTATACAGTCGCATAGGCCAAATTTTGGCAGAATATTTTTAATTTCCGCGAAATACCTAAATTAGTTAGAATTCCTTTTCTATTAAGATTCTTGCGATATTTTCGTATTATTTCCGGTTTAAACTAGATCCTAGGGTTTTCATATGAATACTTTTGGTTATTTTCATCGTAGACACCTTTTGACAATTATTTTGAGATTGAATACAAAATTGAAAGTTTATTCCTCCATGTTCTTGGTGGTTTAAAGTTCTAACATTGAACTTATCAAAAGGAGTCGCAGTCCTTTTGTGGCGTTCTCACTTTACGCTTCTTTTTCCAGGTAATCAACGGGTTAGATCTCTGACGCTTGATCTTGGTTTTTGGTAGGGGTCGAACAACGGGTCAGGTTGCTATTGCGAGATGTGATTTCTAGCTTTCTTGGGTTGATTTCAACTTGTTCGTGGTTCCCAAAATATATTCTTGGTTGGGTTCGCATCAAGGCTGGTTGGTGGTGGAGACAAAATAGTTGTGGTTTATATCAGTTTGTTAATTTGCACAAGGAACGCACATTCAACTTGGATGCAGTCTTAGCATCGTATATATTTTAAGTTATGATTAGTGAAGTGATGACAAAAGTTTTGCTTGTTATGGAGACATTAGCGAACAAAAAATGTATGGGTGGCAGTCTACTAATCATGTTCATGTGAGTCGCAGCACTAGGAATGCAAAACATTAAGGGGCCGTTTTCTTTGTATTTCAATTTTGAGTTTTGAATTCATTTTTGGTTTTGTATTTTGAGTGTACATTTTGATATTGTTGAAAATGTGCTCTTTTTGGTATTTTGAAAAATTGTTTTGAAAACAGCCAAAACGTGTTTTGAAAATTTTGGTTGGATTATAACTGAAAACACCTAAAATCTACTAAAAATCTATATCAAACATGGGCTTAATAAATACTTGTGTTTCTTGATTAGCTAAATGGTACTACTTTTTATCTTCCTCTTTTAATTTTTCTCTATCGCTAAGGCTAGGGACTTTGGGATGCCCAGAATGTTGGTAACCATTTCATCAAAGTTGAGTATTCGGACCAGGACAGACGTGATCACAAGCGGAGTGATAGGTATTCGTATAGACGGAAGTTGCGCTCAAAGATGAGAAAAGTAAGGATGACTGGGAGCTTTGCATGGATTATTTATGATATGATTTTTATGGTTTCGGACCTGTATACATAGTTTTCTCCTTCCATAATCCACTACTCTCTCCTTTTATTTTAGCGCTTGTTTGAGTCTCATTTTTTCTATCAAAATATATTCTTGAATGGTGATTTAACCATATTTGAACCACACATTATTCAATAAAATAATATTACATGCAAACTCAAAATTTTTCCTTATTTTTTAACTATATATTTTTCATCATAACACTATTACAAAATGTATTTTTTAAAAAAAATTGGTTCAAACAAGCCCTAATTCTTGTAATTTCTTCATTGGAAGGGAATAAAGTTCCCTGTGTTAATCCATTAGCCAAATTAGATGGAGATTCAAGACATAGTCAGGATTGCGAGCATTTTCAAGTTTTAACGTACAAATTCAAATTTGACCAAATTCCCAGAAAAAGTAGAAAAACCATAAGGAAGCCAAAACAAATTGGCCCATGCAGGTTTCGAACCTGCGACCTTCGCGTTATTAGCACGACGCTCTAACCAACTGAGCTAATGGGCCATTTACATGAGGATAATTATATAAAATCTATATTACAATTATTTGGTTGTTGGTACTTCACCTTTGAGCATGTTTGAGCCTTTTTTTTTTGACAAAAATGTATTTTGGAATAGTGATTTGATTAAAAATGCGCGGTTAAAAAAATTTAAATTTGCGTGTGATATTATTTTATTAAAAAATGTATAATTTAAAATAAAAAAAAGAAAAATATATTTTGTAAATAATGTAAATCAAACAAATATTAAAAACGAACCTGATTTAGCACGGAACAGAGCAACTTTACCAAACCACTGGCTGACCGATTGATTGCAAATAGAATAGTAGCCGTTGGTCTTCTGCCGCTTTTCAAATTCAAATCCACTCATCACTCCCAAATTCTCAAAAACAATTATACTTCTTCCCCAACAACCCACTAAACCACCACAAAATTCAAAATGTTAGCAGCTCAATCTCCACTCTCCGGCCACCAGTCGACTCCACCGCCAAAAAGTGGCCGAAAACCACTACAACCCAAGAATGCACTGAACACTCCAATCACTCCCAGTGAAAAACCAAAGCCAAAGCAAGATCCTGAGTGGATTAAAATCTCACTGGATGACAACTCCAACAAGGAGAATATTGCTCCTTCCAACTACGCCACCCATATCAAGGCCGAGTGTTTTCCAGTCGAATCCTTTGATGCTTCGCTAGCTGAGGAGCTAAGTGCCATACGAGAAAAGGTGGAGAGACTGAGGATAGATAAGCAAAAGACTGAGAAGAAGCTGAGAGAAAGGGATTTGATACTGGATATGAAAATGGAGGAGATTGTACAAAGAGGGGAAGTGCAGAGGGAGCTTGAAATTGAAGTTGATAGATTGTACCGATTAAATGAGATCAAATTATCTTGCACGGTAAGATTCTTGTTGAGTTAATATAATTAATGGTTACTGATCCTTGCTGAGTTAATTTAATTAATGGTCAATGAATTTTGCTATAATTGTTACTTGCTCACTGAAATTAAAAAAGTTAGTATTTGCTCACTGAACTTTGCTATAGATTATTATTTGCTCACCGAAATTTATAAAGTTACTCATTATTCATCTAAATTTAAACAAAGTTGCTCGTTGTTTATTGAACTTTGCTATAGATAACACTTATGGAAATAATATAAGTGGATAATGGGTAACTTTGTTCACATTTGAACGAGCAATGAGTAATCTGTAGAATTTCAATGAACAATCAGTAACTTATAACAAAGTTTATTGAGCAAAGAGTAACTTTTAAATTTTGATGAAAATGTAGTAACCTACAGTAAAGTTTAGTAACCATTGAATTTTTTTGATGTGGGAAATTTAGAGAACTCAAGATTTTTGTAATTTAATGAAAACCCATGAATTTAAGATGATTAGTTTAATTTGATTCTTTTGGTAATGTCTGCATTATAGAGGATATCCCCACTTCTATCATTAAGAGAGAAGGAAGGAGAAAGTAATACAAATGAAAATCAAACCAAGGCAAGTATATATATTTTTCATTTTTTGTTTATTTTTTTTTTCATTCAATGTTTAATGATGTAATTTATAAAGATAATTGTTATGTTTATTTTAGGAAAAAAGGAGGGACAAACAAAATCGTGAAAGCCGATTGCAGAGTTTGAATTCAGAACAAGAAATAGAGAATTCAAGTTGATTTCTCATAGATTGATTGCCAATGTATTCAATGAAATATAAATTTTGTTATTTTCATAACACATCCAATGCAGATGGCTCACAATCAATTCATAGATCTTCACCACTTATTTCTAGCCTATTTTCAAATGTAAACACGAGATGCATGCACCCCTTGATTACTACTAGAAAATCAGAGAAATAAATTAGAAAAATAGTACATTTATAATTTTTCAAGGCATTAAGAGTAGAAAACCCTCTAAAAGCGTTTTCATGTGCGATATACCTCTTACTTATTGAAAATCGCAGAGAACCACTTATTTGAAATATCTTGTGTGAAAAACCTCCATACCGTCAAGATCCATCAGATTTGCGGTTAAACCCAATAAAAAATGCCAAAATAAAAAAAGAATAATTTCAATTTCAGTACCCAAACTTTTTATTTTTTTTACAAATTAAATCGTTTTTTTTATATATGCCATCTACGATTCCAAACATTTAAAACTTTATCTTTCACCCTACCTCACCCTATCCTACTTCATCATCTTCCTCAAAAATAGAAAAATAAAAAATTTTAAAAAATAAAGTTATCTCCTTCAAACCCTAACACAGCGGGCACTGGTGGAACGAGAGGGGGAGGAGGGGGGGGGGGGGAGGGGGGCAGGTCCCCCCAACTTTTGAGAATTTTTTTTCTCTTTTTTTAATGACTTTTAAAGTCATGTTTGGTATCAATTGAAATCTAAATTTTAATCTAAATCAAAGTTAACAATTGATTTTAACAACATATTTCATGGAATTCATAACTGTTTAACTTTTATCAAATTCACTAAAAATTTGATTTTAATCTCCACCAAATAGGGACAAAATTACAATAAATTTGAATTTTGATAACATGTTAATTTTAAAAGTTCTCAAACGATCATACGCTAATCGAATATACAAGTTGCTTATGTCATCTCAAAACTTATTTCGAGAACTATATTATGGGCATGTCGAATAGTCCAAACAGATATCGAAAATAATTAAAAAATACGTTAAACGTGAGTCTTAAAGAAAGACATCTAACTCGCATTTTTTAAAAAAATATTCAATTATTTCATTAATATTTATTATTTTTGCGATACAAATTTCTCAATGTAATTTTCATCATTTTATTAGGAAATTTTATATGGAATATGATATAAAAAATATTCGAAATTTTACATCCGAAAAAGTCATATCCCATGAAAAATTTCGAAAATTTTT